ACGGGCCTGGAAGGAGCCCTGTCCCGACTCTCCCACTCCTATCTGGGAGCCAGGAACGGGACAAGCTCTCCTCCAGGAGGCCATCCCTGATCCACCAGGCTAGTGGCTCTTGGAGGACTCCAAGGAGCTCTCTATGGCTGCACCGATCACGTTGCATTATAATCTGTCCCCTCATTATGTATGTGAGCCTAAATGATAAATAATGATATTTAAATTTTTTAAAAAAGAATCCCATGCATATGTCTAGTATCTGGTATAAAATTTACCACATAGTACAACTCTGGCAAAAACCTTTTGGATTTGTACTTAATTGAGAAAGGGAGAAGCAATAGTTGTGTTTCAGATGGGTACATCTAGGGAGTACACAGAAAATAGGGCACCCTTCACACTAGGAACCAAGGAATTTCCTTTCTGTGTGAATGAGGATGCTATGCTGAATGTGAAAATCACTTCTGACTGTGCTGAATCCAGGGCATTGGGCTTTCTCAGGTGCCCCTGGACAGCACTCCTGTTCAGTTTTTGAAAGACATTTATTGCCTTGCTGTTAGAATTTCTGGGTCATAGAATTGTGACTACACATCTGAAATCTTGATATGAAACGATAGCAAAAATTGATTTCTGAATTAAATATGCTGGGAATCTACACAGGATAAAAATAAACGATAAGAAAATAAAAATTACTCAACCAACAAAGGGTTTTCAAGCTCATCAAGCAGGGACACACGAACGAGCCACAAGTAATCAAAATATTGTGTCTCCCTGTCAGAAGTGATTAGCTTAGCCGTGGATATGAGTCAAGCCCAGCCGGTCATGGAAAATTCAGCACTTCAATTTCATGAGTCGGAAAGAGATTGCCTTTTCCCCAGGGTTTGCTGAAGGATGCGTTCTCAGCCTGGAGCAGCTGGCTGCCATCCTGCGTTTTGCCTTCAGGAAGGGAGAGATTGCTTGAAAGCTGCAGCACAGGGGAGAAATGCAGACCCCAGAGACGTGGGGCAATAGTGGGCTAGTTGGGGTTCATTCCTGGAGGCTGTGGATCCAGCTGAGGCCAAAGCTGGCTTCTCTCTGGGTGTGTGCAAACAACCCCCTTTTACTTGAGGCAATTTGGGTTTGGTTTTCCGTCACAGGTGATCGGAAACATTTGGCTGAATGCAACAATCTTAAAAGTAATCAACAGTCCTGCTCAGGAAGGAGTTGACTTCCGTGAATGCTAGCTTCACCCAGCCAGTGCCCTTGTAAGTGACTTTTCTTTTTCTCTTTC